GAGAAGCATAAAATTAAGTGTTGCAGAGATGAGAATGATTATATGGATGAGTGGCTTTTCACTTAGAGACAAAATGTGAAATGAATATATCTGTGATAGTGTTGGTGTAGCTCCAGTGACGGACAAAATTAGACAGAGTTATCTTAGATGATTTGGTCACTTTAAACATCGACCATCTGATGATCCGATTAGGAGAGTGGATGTTTTGCATTTGATTTATGTTAAGAAAGGCAGAGGTAGACCTAAAAAGACTTGGGCCTATCGTATAAAAAATGATCTTAACTTATTAGCATTAAATGAAAATATACTCTCAATAGGACGCAATGGAGAAAAAGGATTCATGTAACCGACTTCACTTGATGGGATAAAGGTTTGTTGTTGTTTTATTCATATTTTGGTTGTTTAAATCTACATTAAGCTACCTTCACATACAGAAACCGCAACAAAAAAAACATCTTGGTTTTATATTATCAGTATAATATTCCTTATCTTGCAAACCGTAAACAATGCTTCAAACAACAGCTATCATTGCAGGAGGAAATCAAATAGAATTATAAAAAATACTATTCAGATAAGAAGCAAAAATTTTAATTAATACAAAACTAATAAGCAACTGATCAGAAAAGCCATTGATAAAATTTGCACTGTATCATTATACTAACAAAGGTGGATCTTGTTTTACAAAAAAAACTTATCTAATTTAAGATTGAGTTTAATTTATTGAGGCTTTGGCAAGTATTAAGAATAATATATTATGAAATGATTCTACTAGAATGATCTCGGGAATAGCTCTTACTGAAAAAAATAGGGTGGTAAAATTTTGAGTGATTTCGGCATGTATAAGAAAAAATAAAAGATGCACCGAAAGGTAAATACCAATACAGCTAATAGATATAATTAATGAATGATTAGAAAATAGGAGGTAGATGAAATGCAACATAACTATAAGTTATTTAAACATATATATTTTCGCAAAAATCTTATGTAGCACCTAACAAAAATAAAATAGAACAGGATTCATAAGATCCATTTTCAATAGTTGAACAAAAGCAGATGCTGCAGCTTTTATTCTGTCATTTTGCTTTTATCATATGATTCCCTGACTTAATATCAACACACCCTCACTCACTCTCAGTTTTTCCAATATTGGTCATGCATCTTATGAATTAAAACACAGTTTAAACAACACATAAGGTGTAAAATGGTCATGAGCTTACATATGAAAGCTAAAACAAGCAAATTTAAATGGAAGGACAGTGGCAATTCACCTCATACTAGCAGTCAAAAAAATTATAAAATAAAAAATGCATATTGTCATCATTGAAAACAATAATAAAAGAAACATAAGTTGTCAGTAATCAAGAATGCGTTCCTCCCCAGTCACAACATAGCTAAAGGAGTCCAGTACAGAACTCAAGAAGGTAAACTGAAAAAATAGGATCTCCTGCTTCCAATAATGGATAAGTCCGAACAAAGACGTGATATACATTATACGCATGAAAAAGAAATCTTCCATTTCAGAGTTTCACTGATATTAGGACATTAATATACTAAACAGAGAAGCCAGGCCAGATATAATTCTCATACAGTAATCCTAATGAGCCATGGATTCTGCTTATAGAAAACCAGCTTCCACTCTATACAACAGAAAAATAAAACAGTTCTGTACAGGTATTGGATGCACATTTTTGCAGCAAATGTACTCAAACAGGGTGAAAAATAATTTTAAACGTTTTTTTTTTTTTTTTTTTTTTTTTTTTTTTTTTTTTTTTTTTTTGTGAAAAATCAGGGAAAAACAATTAAAAGCTAGGAAGGAATAGCCACAGAACATAAGATATGCCAAATATTTGTGTACATTTTTATCTAATATTAAAGAAAAATCATATAAGCTCAACAATAATGCAAGCACAATGCAAAAAAAATAAAAAATAAAAAAGGAGACGCCACAAGCCATACACATTATCAATTATGTACGAAAGAGGGTATCTATAATAAGAAGCACAAAATCAAAAGAGACTTTTATAATGTCAAAGGGGATGCAATTAATCTTTAGTAGAGGAAAAGATTATGAAAAAATAATCTAAAGAAAAATTAAGACTACATAGTGCCTCTAATAAGAAGGAGGAGGCAAAACTCAAAGCTCTTCAGCCTTTCACGTCATCAAAAGCCTAAAGTAGACCTTGTACCAGGAAGCCTACCAATTGATAATAAGCCACTGAAAAAAATATTCTCTAACATATGCTAATCCTAATATTATCTCTCCAAGCATAAAAAACTTTATCATGTGAGCATTCTTGCAAATCATTATAGCCTTCATAGTTTTTGTGACAAGACCAATAGCTCCAACATATGCTAATTCTAATATTATCTATCCAAGCATAAAGAACATCGTTCTGAGAACTTCTAAATTTGCAAATTATTATCAGCCTTCCAAGAATTGTGACTCACCCAATAGCGGTAAATAATAACAGATATATTCAAACTGAGTTGCACGTGACAACAAAACCCAAAGATAGAACTTAACTAGGGAAGCTTTCGTACCTAAGAGCCCTCAATAAAATAAATAATAAATCAAAAAAATATTCTTCTCCGCCGGTTACTCATCATAATATAATTTTTCTAAACAAAAAATGCTATCCTTTGAATCCTCTAAATTTACAAATATTTATCATGCTCTTCCTACTACCGTAACTCATCCATGAGTAGTAAACAATAATAGACTTAGTCAAACTAACAAAATTACGGGAGCGTAGATTCATGCAATGCAGCAGAAGTTTCTCACAAAAAGAACTTGTATGGTCATTGCTGATTATAGCAATTTAGCACAAATTTTGTGAAGACTATATAGCTTTTAACACTATAATAATTCTTAGAGGTCAAATAGAAATAACACAGCCCCAAATCTATTATAAAAAACAGCCATGGTAGAAAATTGCAATCATATAAAGGAAGTTGACAAAATAGAGATGTGGACTTCCCACTCAAATCTTCGCACCTGAACTCCTCCCTCACAAGGCAAGCATTTGAAGCACAAAATCTATCATCAAAGTGATGCTTATGTATTGAGTACAACATGAATATTTGGAAAAAAAAAATCATTTCATACCACAAAAATTTTTATTAGATCTAATCATTAAACTTGACAGAATCCCTGTCATCACCATTTAAAGTTTGTTAGTAATTAATTTCTAATATATCACAAAGATGATAGTGTTTGAAGAGAAGACTACATCAAAAATTTATTTGATGTAGATAGCCAAATTTAAAGAAACCACAAAGCTAAGCTTTAAGAGCAGAAAGAATAAACGCTTCAAACACTTGGCAAGGATATATGTATACATAAATGAAAATACCACAAAAAATCAAGGTTTGATTCTAATATGTGCATTTGAAGGAAATATTGATGGCATCCTCTATGGTATACATTAGTGCAAACATAGCGAAGGTAGAATTGCTCAAAATATTGGAGTTATTTGATATTGCCTGACTATAGGCAAGAACATGTAGACATGTGACTACTTAGTTGAAGGAAGTTCTAAATGAAACCCTAAAACCTAATAAAATAGAGTATTAGTCCGCAAAGTAAGCCTAAATATGCTCTTTCATCACAAATATTTCATGTGCTAACTTATAAGAGAATCTGCAGCTAGCTTACAAAATGATTTTTAGAAAAAAAAAAGAAAAATAAAAGCCTTCCAACTAGAAGATGAAAATGCATATCAAATGCAAAAATGCACAAGTGAATACCTCCCAGGAAGAATTCCACATAAAAATAAACATGCCTACATCGTCACCCAAATATATACCCACACTGCACAAAAACACACCCACCCTCCCGGTCAATACCTCAACAACACACACACCCCTCCAGATCACTGCCTCCAAGGCACACCCACTCTCATGGTCACTGCCTCCAAGGCACTCCCACCCCTGTGAGTCAGTACCTCCACTACACACCAACCCTCTGGATCACTGCCTCCATGGCACACCCACCCTTCTGGATCGCTGCCTCCCCAACACACCGATCCTCCAATTCACTGCCTCCACGACACACCCACCCTTTGATTCACATCCTCAACACACTCGCCCACTTGTGTTGTATGTTTTATATGTGCCACTCTGCATTATTGGCTCAATCGCCATTCGTATATGCTATCATATACTGGTGATGATTACTTGCTATATTGTGACAGCCCCTACACTATTACATTACACTAGTTATGTTGTATTTTCATGTGCATTCTTTGATCGCCCCTATGATGAAGTTGGACTGTTAGCTGAATGACCCTTTGCAGGTCACGATGCAACATCTACTATTGCCCGCGATGATGTCTCAGTGGGAAATACTAGCTATCGCGTCATGGACCAGCACGTGTATGTTGTGTTAAGATTCAAAGGAGTCTAATAGATGCCGCCTAAGCTTTGTATTTCTTAAGGACTATTTTAAAAGCATAAAAATTTACATATTTTTATTATTTTATGCATCATGTTTTCAAAATCTATTTTGAGATTACTTGCATCCCTACTTTATACCATATGTAAGGTCAAACTTTTTAAAAGCTTTCATAAAACTTGCATCTAGTGATACCTCTTAAAATTCTGGGATCCTTAGAATGAGGCTGGAGATGGCGACCCCATCAAAACATACCCTAGCCTTGTGACATAACCCTATACATAGGTAGATGTGTTACGACACTATGTAAGATGGTGTGCTAGGTTAAGGACTAGGATGTTAGGTAGTCCTTTTTGATGTCGTGGATATTGTCCTCTGCGAGTTTGTTTGCCCTAGTTAGGCATCACATTTTGTGCTTTTTATTGTGCTTGCATGCTTGCTGATTTTGAGATGTGTGTAGTAGTATATTAGGTCAAATTTATTGTAGAGAGTCATGCCTGAAACTCACACTCACACGTGTAACAAGGAGGAGCAAGTAATGATTATGACTAACTCTTTTCTGTAGGTGCCGCTAAGCTCCTCCTGTCGGGCCTGGCTCATATGTGTTTCATAGCTTAGTTTTTTTTTTTTTTTTTTTATAACCTTTTGCAGAGTCGTGCTGTTGTGCATCCGCAGACCTCTTACTAGCTGCTGGACCAACCCGCATAGGTCTAGAAGAACAATAAACACCATTCATTTCCGTCAATGCCCGATTCTGCTCGCTCGAATCTGCAAACCTAACAAATCCATAGCCTTTTGAACGGCCAGTGATTCTATCAGTAACAAGTTTTGCACCCTTAACGGATGTGTAATGGCTCCTAAATACTTCTAGTAACATGAAGTCTGTAACATCAGATGCCAAATCGCCAACAAATATGGTAAAATCATTAGCTTCATCTCCCTTTTTTCCACCTGCAGATGCCCAGTTCAACCTGAAAACTTGTTCAGAATTAGGCATCAATGCTCCATTGTAAGTCTGAAGAACTCTTTCAGCAGCAGCACGAGAAGCAAACTCAATAAAACCATAGCTTTCCAATTGTCCAGTTTGCTTGTTCCTGATAAGCTTCACGGATACAACCTGATAAAATCTTTATAAATGAGTAACTCATAAACGAGCTTGTGATCGGGAAAAGTAAATCGCAAAGAGGTTAGTCGATAAACGTAACCTCCCCACTTTGGGCAAAGCAACTATAGACGTATGATTCCTCCATCCAATACTGCAGATCTCCAATCCAAAGCGTGCGAACCTCGTCGGCGAACTGGGGTTGCGCCGCCGAGAGGGAAACGTTGGCCGGTGCCGGCATGGGTGCGCCATACTGAGGTTGAAATTGTTGCTGCTGGGGCATCGGCTGCATAGCCTGCGCCGGGGGAATCTGACTTGGTTGCTGGTTCCACATAGGCATCACCTGCGGCTGAGGGTACTGCGGTTGAGGTGCAGGCGGTGGAACCGTTCCCCATTGCGGCGGAACTGACTGTGTCGGCGGCGGGATCTGATACTGCGGCGGAGGTATCTGATATTGCTGGTCCAAGGTAGGCGGAACCATCCCTCCGCCTTGCATCATTCTCTAAGAGGGACGAAAAACTAAATCCTCGAAAGGAAGTGAGGGGAAAGGAAGGGGAAAGGAAGGGGTAAAGAAACCCTAATCTTAGCAGCAAAAGCCGACAGGTTTAGAGGATGGGAAGGAGCAAGCCATCCAAGAATAATGACCGGTGATGAGAATAGGTCTAGAGGATGGGAAGGAGCGAGCGATCCAAGAATAATGACTGGTGATGAGAATATAACAAAAGGTTGGTATTTTCCATTCTTAATATATATATATATGAAAAGAAAAAATTTAAATATGTGACTTAAAAAAGAATATTATCTTTTAATAATTATGTCATAAAATTTTCATAATTCTTCAATTACATAACTAAAATGATTCTAATTATTAAAAAAAATTGATTATTATACTTCAATCAAATTTTAGAATTATTGTTGCATCATTATAATTTTAAAACTTTTATATGCTACCTTAGTTAATAATAATAAAAAAGAGTGTTTAATTTAATTCTCTCAAGAAAAAATAAATTAGCATTAAAAATAGTTTGCTCATTAATGGTCTATTTGGGGCAGCTTATTTGGTGCGATGGCGTTTTGAAAATGCACCTGAACTGTTTGGGTAAACGGTGTTTTCAAACAGCACTTATCTAGGTGTGTTAGCAGCTTTCTGGCAGCGTTCTGGCTTCTCCAAAAAAATAAAAATTTATAATAGACACCGTACCTAGCTTACAAGCAGATTATTTTTAATCAGTTTATCAGCAAATTATTCAATAAGTTCCAACCACCCCAAACAAACCCTAAATCATAAATAGATCATTCTTCATAAATTTATTTAATTTATTTAATAATATATGTTTGCATGAGTGTAAAAAATATTTTTAAAGTTGGCTACAATTAGAATTTAATTCAAGTATGTTTAATAAATTTTATAAATCAAAATTCATTAAACTTGTAATAGTTAAAATCTCAAAATAATTAGGCCTGATAACTATTAATTTTTGTTAAATTCTCATAAAAAGTTTGTTAATTTGTTTTAGGATTAAATTTTGTGAGATAGAAAATATCTAAAATCAATTAAATTTTATTAATGATTGGATTTAAATTATTCAATATTTAAATAATTGTAAGGTTAAAATGAGAATTACTAAAATCAGAGGATTTGAAATTCCTAAAATTATATTTCTAACTCTTAAATCATACAAATAATAGGATTCTTAATAGAAGAGTAAATTTTTAGTGGATAGAATGGAGAAATGTATTGAAAATTTATGGGGGATAAGAGGAAATCATAAAGGCTTAATGTAGATTTTATAAAATTGTAATTAGATTGATGATGTTGTATGAATTTGAATATTGGATTATAAAACTCAGTAAAATAGTATAATATAAATGAAAATATTGAGATATTTGTATTATAAAAGTAAAAAAATTAATTTATTTATACAAATGATAACGACGTAGCGGCCCTTGAATACTGTCATTATCGGTCTCAAGCCCGAATGTGAAAAGTGGAGGGTTGTGTTACGTAGTCGACAACCAGTGTAAAAATTGTCGAAAAAAAATCATGACATGAATCCTTTTGATCATTATGTAAGTGTTAATGCGTCTCTTGGAAGCGACAAGCTGTATAGCCTGAATACAGTGAAAACTGTCCAATGGCTGCTACACCGCCACCCGGGTTTAGTGTTAAATAAGCAAGGGTTCCTATATTACAGGCGAACGCGGGTAAAGAAGTTAGTCCAAGAAACTAATGAAACTAATATCAGGATAGAATCTTGGAATATAGGTACTCTTAATGGTAAATTAATGGAATTAGTTGATATTACGATTTATAGAAAAATTAATATCATATGTATTCAAAAAACTAAGTGGGTTGGAGAAAAGGTCAAGGAGATTGATAATTTAGGTTTTAAACTTTAGTATTCTGGTAAGAGTCGCACCAGAAATGGCGTACGTGTAATTACATATAAGAGTTTGAAATATAATGTTGTAAAAATTAATAGAGTTGGAGATAGAATTATAGCCCTTAAGATTATCATTGATACTAAGATTTTTAATATTATAAGTATTTATGCTCCTCAAGTATATTTAGATACAAGGTCTAAAGATAAATTTTGGAATG